AAGACGGATCAAGCGGAAAAGGCTCGCCTTCTCCCGGATGGTGCCGGCCAGCAGCCGCAGCAGCCCCAACAGACTTCCGATCACCACACGTCGCCGATGAAGCAATTCACTACACCAGAACCATCCTCGGCCACTTCAGTTACTACGACTTTGCATACAGCAGCTGCCATCAACAACACCCTCGCCCAGATGCTCGCAGAGCGCCATCCTGTGCTCGGCTTTGGCCGTGCTCAGACTTTCCGGCGGGCTATGATTCCGATGTGGGGACATGCTCGATGTCTTCGCGCCTCCCGTTACCAAGGCCAAAGGCAAAGCTACCGCTCGCAAGGGTGCTAATGTCTTTGCGGTTGCTCAATATACCAGTGCGCTTAGAGACGGTTCCTCTCCGGCTACCACCCCGGTGGCCGCTCACCCTCCGAAGCTGAATTCCCCCGTGACCGCTTCGGGCTTGAGCAAGTCTGCCTCCTCCCAGGCACAGCCTTCTTCTTCTACTGCTGCTGTTGTGATGCCGAGCAGCAACTTGAACCCGTCTGCATCGAGTGGAGGCGGCAGATACGTCATTCCTGCTAAGCGCATCAAGAAGGAGCCGAGGGCGATTGACTTGGCGGGAGAAGGGTTTTGAGCGACAGAAATTAAGGCAATTATATATGGGACAGTGCTGTATTATAAAGAGTAGCAGATGAGGTTTGAGCTCAGATTAATTAGATTATTGTATCAAGTAAGCCAATGGGGGCACTTGTGGCTTGAGTGGCTTGCGGATCAGAGAACAGGGGGGGTGTAAGTGAGAGACCCCCTTTTTGAAACAATCTATTTTAGGCTGTAATTAACTAATTACAATGCAACTTTCTGTCTCATCTACTAAATCGGACTCGCCCTCTTCAATGAAACTATTGTCGTCGTCGTCAGCCTCCCCCCTTGTCCGCTGGACCACCGTAATGCTAGCAAACTTCTTTTTCGGACGGATCTAGACCTTCCTCCTTTTCTTATGCTCCAAATCCCACAGACGGGCTTTGAGGGCCTGATTTTCTCTATCAAGAATCGCCAAGTGTAGATCTTTTCCATCAAAAGCTTTGACAAGCTTTTTGAAAAAAGCCCTTTGCATTCTATCCCCGTTGTTGTGAATGTTTAGTTGAGCCAAAGCCTCTGTCAACTCTATGGCCTTACATGAGTCTTCCAGAGGCCGTCGTCGTCTTGAACTTTGAAAGGGAGTAGCCAAGGAAAGAGTTTTCTTTGCAGGGCGGTTTTAGTCGGAATAGACCGCTTATTACTGTTTTCTAACAGTAAGGGACTTGACAGTGGTTTGATCTTGTTGAGTGGCCACAATCCGGCTGCCCGCCAACCTCCTGGGCAGTCTGATGGCCGTAACCCTTCCTTTCGAGCCTTGTACATACAAGACAACAACATCCTTTTGCCCATAATAGTCTCATCGCTGTAAAACACAGCATTACTGACATAAGCCCGGTAGTGTTGTTTGACGGACGAAAAGCATCCCAAATCGAGAGGCTGTACAACGTGGGAGCTGTGAGGAGGTAGGTAAATTAGGTAGATGTTGGTCAAGGAAGCAGGAAAGCATGTAGTCGTCCGTTACGTGGCTGTGATGGCCGTCCAGAATAAGAAGCCGGTAGTCCTTCGGATCAGCTGGTGCAGTCAGGGGTATAAAGATCTCCTGCAGCCATTTGAGGCCTGTTTCGTCGTCTGTCCAGCCATTTTTTTGTTGCGTGGGTCTTCCAAAGACGGAAATCGTTAAGATGACGAGAAATCCACTGCTCCTGGACCGCTTTCCCCTTGAAAATAAGAAGGGGAGGTAAGCTTTCCCCCTCAGCCCAGATACACTCCACAAAAGTGGTCCAGGTACGAGAGCCAGGTTGTTTTTTAACCACTGCTTTGTATGCTGAGTCTCCCAAGACGATGTCGTTAACCCCATGGCCTTCCATGGTCTCCATTTCATCCTTGTTGTACCGGTATTCGGCTTGATCTTCTGGACGATAAGAAGCTGGAACATCTTGAACCATTCCTCGATTATATCCTTTGTGGCGCCGTTAAACCGCGCCGAATCGACCCGTTTAGCCCGCAGGCTCCCCACAGACTTATTCCTCCAAAGTAAACCCTGGATCCATTGCTTTCCAAGTGGCCGTTCATCCCCCTTGATACGGAGGAGATGCGTAGCAATAGTCATGAGCTGCGAGTGGGTAATCGGAACCCCTAGGGCTTGTTGATTCTTGATCCAATCGGCTAGTCTTTCTTCCTGGAAGGGGGACAAACGTCGAAAATGAATAAAGGTTTCATTTCTAGGCTTGGTCTTCTCCAATCGGTTTCTCAAAGTCGAGTACGGAATTCCATACTTTTCCCCAGTGGCGCGGATCTCCCCGGACTTCGAGCAAGATCAATAGCTTCAAGAAGGTCGGATTCAAAATACTGTCATTTAGAAGGCATTATTTATCAGTTTTGAATACAGGATTGAAATCAGCTTTTAAATTGATGTTGTTTGACGAAGTTGTGTGCAAAAGAAAATGGGGTGTTCTGGCGGTGAAGTGGTCCGAAAGCGGATGATGGAATGATCCGCAAGCCACTCAAGCAACAAGTGCCCCCCTTGGCTTACCAACCTGACAAATTCTGTTGGATTGAAAATGCAACGCCCGTAACCCTGGTGTTACGTACTCCGTCTGAGCCACATCTCATCACCGAAGGGAAGTATGTGATGATATCTTATCAGCAGAATCCAAACCCAACAATTATATGGCGAGGTCTGTCTACTGCATGAAGCCCTAGATAGGCTTTGTTACTCAGTTCGGGACAGTTCCAGACGATACTGTGCTCCGCATGAACTGCTGTTATTCCAATATTCTGACGTAAGCTGGCAACAGCACGGTACCACCAGACTGCTGCGAGTAAGGGTTATACGCGACACCTATACGCCATGCTCGACAGGTGACAGCTATACGCCGACAAGCCTTACTAACATCCCGCTAAACGAATACGTCAGAGGTGTCTCCCGGTGGACGATTCAGACGAATAATCGGGGTAGATGGTGAGAACCGCTCATCTTAACCGAGTTATCAACGGAAGGTTCAACGCTCATAGGGGGGTGAGCTCGGAAATCCCGGGATGCCAGCCCATCAAATCCTCCGGATACTTCGCCAGGAAAATACGATAAACGCATTCTTATATTCAATGTTCTGTTCCTCGGTTCCGAAGAGAATCACGGCATAGGGGTAGCCTGAGAGATGATGGGCGGTGTTGAAGTCGAGTATAAGATGGGAGGTCTATCCGCCAAGATCTGGCAGTCAACAAACAGGAAGCATCCGCTCAATTTCATTCACTCTGCAAACTATCATCCAGAGACCCAGAGTAACAACACAAACAACAATGAGCAATCTCCTCAACCTCGTCTCCTTCGGAGCTTTGGCCCTGGCGCCAATCGCAGCAGGGGCGCCTTCAGACTATCCCACGAAGCAGTGCGTCCAGCTTGAGGTCACCGTTCCGGTCGTGGCCACCAATCACCACTTCGGCCAGCCTCCGATCGACAGCAACATTACTGCCATCAACTGGACGGTGAACACCACCACCTGGAATTACAAACTACCCAGCAACCCTCCCATCGTGCCCATTGACCGCACGTTCAAGGTACACGCACAGCTGTGTGTCCCGTCTACGAAGAACGCCAAATCGAACATCTTACAGATCGCAACCCAAGGCCGTGGCTTCGATAAACGGTCAGTCCCACCCAACATACAAATGTAGATAAATCCGCGAAAAGAAAACTGACTGACTGATATAAACAGATACTTTGACATCCGAGTCCAACCAGAGACATACTCATACCTCGACGCAGCCATCAAGAGGGGCTACCCCGTCCTGACCTACGACCGAATCGGCCTCGGCGAGTCCGAAAAGCCGGACCCCTACGACGTCGTCCAGCTCCCGGCCGAGGTCGAGATTCTCGCAGGGCTGACCAAGCTCGCCAAAGCCGGCAAGCTGATCAGCTCCTCCAAGGTCTTGTCCAACAGCTCACCGGCAGTCAAAGACTTTGTCCCCTCAAAAATTGTCCAGGTGGGCCACTCGTACGGCTCTTTCATCATCGCTCCTATGATAGTCAAGTACGGATCTCTCGCCGACGGGGCCCTGCTGACGGGTTTCTTCCCCAACCCGCGCCTCGGCACAGTCGACGTGTCGCACTACGACCATGCCTACGTCCACGACATCGACCCCGTCCGCTGGGCCGCCTACGGGCCTGGTTATTTTATTCTCGCCAACACGCTTGTGCTACAAAAGCTGTTCCTGCACAAGCCGGGTTTTGAGCCGGCGCTGCTGACGTACATGAGCGAGATCCTCCAGCCCGAGGCGGTGGGCGAGTATCCGTCCGGGGACTCGCTCCCGCTGCCGGACCTGCACGCCACCGAGTTCACGGGGCCGGTCCAGATCTCGGCTGGCGCGTTCGACTTTGCCAACTGCAAGGGGGACTGCCGTGGCCAGTACAATGCCACGTTTGTCGAGAATCTGTTTCCTAAGGCGTCAAACATTACGGGGTATTTGCAGCCTGATGCTGGTCATGCTATGCACTTTTCTACAACTGCGCCGATTGGGTATAAGGCTCAGCTTGACTACTTGAATGATCACGGGTTGTGAATGAAGCGAGCTGGGGTGCGCAGAGGCTTTGAGTAGGCTGGGTTGTTGCAATTCGTTTCTCTTCATGTTGGACGTATGGTAACCTACTCGCAGGTTTTACTTTCCTCTTTGGCTTGTCTGACATTTTGTTTGGTGGTTCTTCTAGTTATGAGATCTGATACATGATGAGGCTGTCTTGGTGGGACACACCAGACGCTACAAGTATCAGAGTTTGATAATAACAGCCCCTATATGTGGGATACATGGCACCAACTCAGCAATTACATCCATAATCTGCATGCTACTACCTACCTACGTACATGACACGATGCCTCGTGTAGTTCTTCCCCCCCCTCCCCTCCCGAATACTTTTTCTCTATTTTGCTATTACTTCCTGGCAGTTGGTATAATGGGCAACATTGTGATATTTAACATGTTTACATCGCAGACGTGGGTTCGAATCCCGCACTGCGACCTTTCTTTTTTCTTTTGTTTCTCTACCTGTTTCTTTCTAAATAATGCTTTCGTTTTGGTCATAGTCAATAGGTAAGGTCATAAGGGTATATGCATGTATGTTCATTTCTTGATACAACCTTATGCTAACGTTAACTGTTCTACTTTGAGTCACTGTAGGTACCTCAGGTAGTTGGTTACACGTTCGAGACATGAATACAAGCCGAATTTCAGACCCGGCAACAGTACCTACAAGTTCGTTCTCTCTCCTCTGGACCTGCGGAATGAAACCAATGAATGGATCGGGCACAGGACCCGTTGCATTCTCTTGGCATTGTTCAAGCTTGGAGTAGCAGTCAGCACGGGCTAGAATTCAACCGCCGATTGGATGAGACAGCACGACTGCAATCCCGACCCAGTAACGGTCAACGGTCAACGGTCAACCCTTCTCCACCTCCTTCAACATCCCCCTCTCGCGAAACATCGCAGGACGCCAAAATGATCCTGACGGTGGCTCCAACCCTGCGGACCTGGTTCGCCCCAGCCATCGACGCCATCTTCGCTCCCGGTCTTCCCTTCTCCTACCGTTGGCGTCTCCTCGTGCTCCAACCGCTCAGCCTAATAACCTACTCCATCCAGGCCCTGCCCTGGGTGTTCCGGCGATCTTGCCCCTTCAAAGCAGAATACATCACCGTTGCGCCCGGTCGCACTTTACGGATACTAGTCTTCAACAAGACCAAATCATCCAAAACCGGGCTGAGACCTCTCCATCTCGACATCCACGGCGGCTCCTTTCTAGGCGGCCTCCCGGAATCCAACGCGCACTTTTGCGCCCGCCTGGCCGAGGAGACCGGCGCCGCCGTGTTTGCTACATCGTACCGCTACGCGCCTGTCCATCCTTTTCCAGCGGCCATCGACGACGTCGACGTCGTGCTCGCCTACCTCCGCCAGCACGTAGCAGCAAAATACGGCGCCGACCCGGACTTGGTGACGGTCAGCGGCGACAGCGCGGGCGGAAATCTCGCGCTCGCGACGTCGCTTTCCGTCAAGCCGGGAGTGGTCAAGGCGAGCGTGACCTTTTACGCGTCCATCAACCTCCACTTAAGTCCTGGGGAGAAACCGCCGCCGCAGCTCCCCAAGGGAAAGAAAGATCCCATGAGGTTTCTGTATCCGCTTTTTGATTCGTACGCGGCCAAGGCGAAGAAGGACGACGGAAACAATCAGAGGCTGAGTCCGTATTTTGCGGACTTGAAAGATTTGCCGGGGGATATGTTGCTCGTTGTTCCTGGTATTGATCTGGTGGTTAGGGAGCAGTTGGGGTTTGTGGAGAGGTTAAGGGGGGAGATTGAGAGGGATACCGAGGGTAGGTATAAAGGGAGGAGGGTGGAGGCGCTGTTTGTCGAGAAGGGGTTTCATGGGTATCTTGGGTGTAAGTGACGTTATACCCCTGACCTTGGGATGGTGTATTGTTTACTAACTTGAATGTGCATGTTCAGTGCCGTCTGTGATTGTTGGCCAAGAGTTGAAGGACCAGGCCTGGGATGCTGGGGTCAGGTTTATACAAGATGCTCATCGTAAGAGCGGCTGGCGGTGGCCTTGACGCATAAGCGCCCAGACTTCCTGCTTTCTTGAACGCCACTCATGTGCTATAGTGTTAATATCCCATGTCGTCTTCTTTTGTACTAGTTTTTGATACACCTCTCACGCGATACCGAGCAACGCTCATTGTAATAATATATCTTGATATGCTTCTGTGCACAATACAATAAGGGCACCATAAATATCAGAACATGCCTATCCTTCAACACATGGCATACCCCTGTCTGTATCATCCTCAGTCCGCGAAAAGAGATTCTAATAGCCTTATTCCAGATATCGTCGAGAGCAGAAAGCACCTCCTCCCCCTCCTGGCGTGGACGCGCCATTGTCCAATACACCCACTGAACCTTGAAGGATGCATGTATCCACAGCACAGGGTACCATCACATCCTCGGAGGACTCGCTAGCTGGTTAGGGTTAGTGGTTACCCCGCAGATAACCTTTCGTCTTTCGCCGGGGCCGTATTCAGGTCGAGATTTGGGCGACTCTCACGGCCGGCATTCTTCTCCTTTCTTCTTGCATATATGAGTCAGGCAGGTTCCATCAGCAAGGTACAACGGTCAGTTCAGCATTTTGTGGGTGTTTCCATCTGTTGGCTCGTTGCTCACGGTTTCTGACGAGCTCTGCAGATAAGGAGATAGCATAATGAGCCGCTGGCACGAGGCATCCTGTAGCCAGCCGGTCATCCAAGTCGAGGACGGCGATGTTGCCTGTTGCACCTCGTGCGGTTCTCGCTACCGGTGGCAGGAGAACATCCCTCGGAATGAAAGCAGTAATTCCGTGCTCGGAATCCCCGAGGCCGGACCAAGCGATCGAATGAACCTCCGATGGCCAGGTTCTGTGCCGTACAAATCCATCCTGGGGAACCCGAGTCCCGACCCGTCACAGTCAACCGAGATCCCTACAGACTCGAACAAGGCGGACGCGTCCCAGCCACACGGCTCGCGGATTTACGGAGACACACTAGCACCAGACGAGTTCCGTCTCGCTTGCCTAACTGCTGTCGAGGGCGACAATGAGCAATTCCCACTTCACGTGTCACTTGAAGTCTTCAAGGACCACAACTGCCCCGAGTACGAGACCGTGTCCTACACATGGGGCGGCGAGGAAGGCGATTACTCTCTCAGCCGTCCCATCTTCATCGGCCCATTCTGGGACGTCCTCTTCCAGACCAAGAACTGCTGGGAGATGCTCCGCTTTATCCGGCCATGGCGAGGTACGAGAATGGTCTGGGTTGATGCACTTTGCATCAACCAGGCCAACCTCCCCGAACGAGGTCAGCAAGTGGCAAAGATGGCGCGCATCTACGAAAACTGCATGAGGGCCATCGTCTACCTGGGTTCGGATATTGTTCTACCCCTATCCAGGGGGGATTTTCCCACACGCTCCCGACTTTTGGAGCTGGCAAGCGGCTCTGTTGCTCCCAAACTCCCTGCACACTGCAAACTGGCTGGCAGGTTGAGCTTAGCAGAGGTTCTGGCACGGCAGTATTTCAGCAGAGTCTGGGTGATTCAGGAGCTGTTGCTCTCTCGTCAAACCGTTATCAGGATCGGTGACGTAGATTTCTGGACCGATTCCACGCCCTGGGGCACTTCAGGCGAACAGAAGGCAAACTTGGAATCCATGCAGGCCCCTTGGGTTCGGTTTCTTGCCCAAAAGACATTCACGGCGACAAGCATCGTAGGAGTGCTACAGACAACAGCAGCATCCAAGGCCTCGGACCCGAGAGACAAAATCTTCGGGCTGCTCAGTTTGGTTTATCTGAACGATACCGAGCGGCGTCAATGGCAGCCGGACTACTCCATCCCGCCTGCTCATATTTTTACCGGCTTCTTTGCTCACTGCATAGTGAATCTACAGAAACTCGTGTTCCTTTTCTCTTCTGTGGGAACCGACTCTGCGCCTTCTTCCTCTCCTTCTTGGGTTCCAGATTGGTCGACAGCAGAGTCATGGCAGCAGCTGATGAACAAAACTCTTCCAGAAGCCCCCGCCGTTGTGAGTCTGGAGGGTTATACATCTCTCCCGACGGAACTCTGGGGACAACAAAACAAACATTTCTGGGACTGGACCTACAATGGAGGGGCGTATCGGCGCTGGAACGATGAGATCGCCGTGTGCACCGACACGGGGGCGCTCTCGCTCAACCTAACACATATCTGCAAGATCCCGACGCAGCCCATTCCCGACACATCTAGAAAAAGATACGGGATCACGGGAAGGCATCAGAACATTTACCTGGTATCGGACCATGCACTGGACAGGATTGTACAGCCAGGCCACGACCACATCTTCGTTCTTGCATACAAGAACAAACCTAAACCCTCCAAAATTGCCAATCCCATCCACCGCCTTTTCAGGGAGAAGGACCCGCCCCTCGGAAGTAGCTTCTATCTTGTTCTCAGGGAGACAGAGCGAACTGGGGCTTTCCGGCTGGTCGCAACCTGCACTCACCTTCTCATCTCGTCCGGGTTTGACGGCGGCGGGCCCTTTGGGCAACTTGGCAGTGTTCACTCCCACCTTATCAATGCGCGTCGTAAGATGGAGAAGGGTTTCGGAGACCGAATGGATATCTCCGTCTTTTTCCCAGGGGCCAAAAAGGGGCACGACCTGTTGCCGATGATCAAAGCGCTTACACCTCATATCCCGGGGAATTCCGATGATGCAGACCTTGCCTTCAGGTCAGCTTATCTCGCATGGCTTGACGAGAAATTCCATCCATGTGTTGTGGATGGGTACGTCGAGATGACATTGCCAATCAGCGATTCCAAGCGATATAACGGGAATCGGGTCAGCATCACGCTGTACGAAATGGATGCCACAGATCGGTCCAATTCACCAAAACTTGCAGGAGGCGAGAATTACATTCATACTACACAAGTCAGCTGGGATTACAAAAGGTATAACAAATGGGCCCCTATTCTTGAAAGAGAGCCAGAGACACTCCCCCTCCTAGCCAGGCGCGAGTTTCGACTTCGTATTTGTATCAAAGATGTGGCAGCCGCCGTTCGGGCGTGGCTCTGGGACGTGTCGGCTGTGCAACGCGTTTTGCGGCTGGAATACGACGAGCTCGTCAACCTTCTCCAGGCACTGCCGAAGGAGGAGTTCCACTGTATTGGCTGCCCCTCCGTGGACACGCAGAACGCTATGGAGGATTTTGGACTTAAAGTCTACACCGATAGGGTGCATATCGTGTAACATTAGAATATGGGGCTTGAATTGATGATGCCTGATGGCTCATTTGCCAACCCTTCCTGCTTCATACTCCTCATCCACCTTGCATATCATAAATTCAAAATGCTGTCTCATCATGTCAGTCCATGCCTTCACCTCAGCAAGGTCTCGACTTTGTACCCGATCGATTTCGAGGGTGAATTTTAGCCAGCAATTTTCCGCTACGATTGACCCTTGCTTGAAGCGCGACGT